CGGGCTCACCCAAGGATTGGTCAACTTATTAGGTGAATGTTTAAATTTCTGTCAAATTATATCTTAAATATCGTATTGATATGAAGCCCGTGCTTCTTTGTAAAAGCAGATTCTAAAATAAGATATTTTGAAACCTTGTTGTGGATTTTGTTCCAATTTGTTCAGCGCGAAGAATTTTCATGTTAATGATGTTCCCAGAGTCTGGAGCAGTTGTGGACTTAAGTGGACATTTCGGAGTGGTTGCTTAGAAAGCAAAGAAAGAAACTGCACTTGATTGTAAGATTGTCCACTTTGTCTACAGACAACATTACAAAACGAACAAGATATTTTTATTGTATAAAGTAAATAGTGTTGTCCCCGATTGATTTTATCGCTGTCAGCTTGATGAAAGTTATCCATATATATCAATATGACAGGCAAATCGTTATATGAAGTTTTTGAACATGCCGATATCATCAATTCTGTTCATTTGAATATTCTCTATTCTTTTAAACGCGGTAATGGCAGCGTTTTGATTTTTTCTGACACTAGCGGTAATAAATTTGTGGCTTTTGAGCTAGTAGATCATGGTCTCATTAAAAAAATCGGTTCATTTTGAATCTCGTGAGACCCATATGATATTGTCCGACGTATGTTTAAACAGAGTTGATTTACCACACTTTTGAGAGATAATATTGTCATTACCAGCAAACAGTGACTTAAACAGATCGAAAAATATCCTGTAACACGGTAAATTTCAACATATTTGATAACATTACGTACAGGATAAGCAAACATTGAAAAGGACGTAACTCCTTGAGGATGTTTAACAATGGTGAATCAAGGAACCCGATTGTATAGGACAGGGATTAATGGGGTCATGTGACCAAATGCGTCTCATGTGGGTCAGATTATGCGATTTAATGTAATTAAAGAGAAACTAACGCCTGTGATACCAGTTTTTATCTATACAACATATACCCCGCGGTGTGGTGTTTGTCGGGACAGGCACGTCCGGACACTGTCATCAACATTTACTGAATATAATAGACACATATTTCCCGTGGTCATCGATACTGCCAAGGGTCAGTCGTACAAACGGCTATTGAAAACCACAGACGATGACCAAGGAATGAAGTACCACACCCACACGCTGAATGGTCAGGTCGTCCAGTTTAACAGGATTTGACCGGGCTAACCCATAAAATCACTGACCATGACGGATTTGGTGACAGTTGTGACAATGACCGAAAGAGTTCAGTTTCAGTTGACCATTCATAGCTGGAACTAGATTTTAGATTGAATCTGTCCAGTGTATTTGTAGCACCTCGTACCTCTGATGAAGTGACAACCAAAATAAATACCACCGTTAATGCAAGTATTGGGTGTGAACAAAGGGAGGTAATCGATGGAATTCAAGCAGATATTCTGATGGCTCGATTCCAATATGGAATTCATGTACTAATTAGTCGTAAGGTTTCCGTATAAAATCTATTTCCTTTCTACAAAACTGTCGTAAATCACATGACCACTAAACGTTTTATCTAGTATTAATTCGTTTGTATGTTATCATTATTGCCGAGTCAACAGTTATTTTTAGTTGAGGTCTCGTTTAAGTACATGTAGCTGGTTTCTACATTAAGTGATGTGTCTATGGGAGGCCCGTCGCATGAAATCAAGAGTGATTAGAGTAAGGTGACTTGTCTAAGGACACAGCCAGGACACCATATGGCGGCCCGTTTCTCAGGTTACCTAGAACAATAACAGGACGAATCAGGAACCGTGGAATCTGGATGTGTCGCTACAGTTACTCAAGGTTTATAAATATATATACATCATGTTTCATGTCATAATTGGATAATATTGAAGACACGTTTTAAAATAATTATTACTATTTCACAATTTTACAGCTTTCGTTGCAATGTATCCATCCCATTAGTTTAGGATGTCTGAGGATAGCCTTGTCTAATGAGGGTACATGCGCGTATGTACATATCTTAATTTGTCAATGTACAACAACGTCAAGCTGGCAAACGTAGTTTGGGTATAACCCGTTGGTATAAATAAACGTGAAGCGATATATCAAATACACGGGAAAAGGTACACCTAAAATTTTAACATTATAAGCATTGAAACAGACAAAGGGTGTATTCAGATATTTTCTCATAGTTTTGTAGAATTTGAAATTGTTAGGATATAGCACATATAAAAGGTTTTTTTGTGTAATTTTGTGTTTGCACTTTTGTTTTTTTTCTCTGTTTTTCTGTTTATTTATTTTCCCAGGCTCTGTAAATTTGTATGAAAATTGCAGTTAAATAAAAAAAAAATGTAAATACATCTATAATAATTCTGCTTCTCTAAAACCGATATAGATTTGTTAACTGAACATTATGTATATTGAAGATTATACAAAAGACACCTTTTCATAATTTTGAGCTAGATACGGTATAGCCAAACCAATGCCTTAAATTGCATCGTACAGCTGTTTCGTCCTTCTAGGACTCGTCAGTGATGCAAAGAACCTAAATTTTGAAGTCTAAGAGGCTACTGAGGAAACTCCAAAGTGATCGGAAGAAAAGTCGAATGAAGACGGTAAGTTTCAGCAGCCCCATATATCAGACAATTCAGTTTAGAACAGCGTCAACTATATTCTGAACCGTAACACAATTCGAACGAATTAAAACGAGGCATGCAGGTTACGGCAAACTTTGGGGACTTAAAATCAACACGTGAATAGCACATTTGAATAATTTAGTGTTAGATACAATAAGAACCAAATAATTGTCATTCAAAGGGAAGTAACTCCTAAAATGTTTTGGTAATACTTTAACAAGATAGTGTGATTTCGGTTACACTTTAAAAGGTACAATACAATACTATAATACCGATAGAAGATCGGGAAACAAGTCTGAAGTTTATATATATTTTTTTCTTATGGATATTACGAACTATACGCGATAAACATCGATAAGATGGTTAGGACATGCACAGTGAATAAGATTTCTCTCGATCATAAATACAAAACTATGTAGACACACAATTAAAAAACACAAGATGTAAAAGATAGCCTGGTGACAAAAAAAAATCAGAGTTATATCCATCGTGTTTAACAAAGAAATGTTTATTTTGCCATTTATAAGGTGCGTTTTAAGTATCAAACTGAACTTTCTTCAGTAATGAAAGATAGATTATTACAGAATTGAAACGACGGAGATGAAAGTATTCCTGGTGTAGATTCGTAAGTGTGTCACAAAGTTTAACATATATATTGTAAAAAAAACTGACAAAAACGATATGAAAGTTGCGGACAAAGCCATTCTATATAGTACGAATCTAGCATTAAGAGGCGATATGAATGACAGATCTGGATACAAATATTATATTTCACGTTTTATTATACAAAGTCAAAATTTCAAACTTCAAATCTTTTATTATGTAGCAGGGTTAAAATTTGTAAAAATACCAACCGTTGAACACACTGTTGAGAGTTATTGTATTTACTCTGAAGACATAAATGGATTTCCCCTCAGCAGTTAAACAACAGCACAATATCAACAATTATAATGAACTGCATTCAAATGTCGCACTTATACAGCACACTATTTGGGTATAAATTGTACAACTAGTCACGTTAGATTGAAATGAGAATTTTTAACATTTTATATTTACATTAAACCGACTCTATACATATACATTCGTGTACGTTATATTCAACATGTACATGTAAATCTATAGTTTTAATATATATGGATACTAGAGAATACAATATATATAGTTTCTGAATAAAAATTAGTTTTTAAATAAGATGGAAACGTGATAGTAATCATACCTATTTAAGGAACAGGGGACATTTAGTGGGGAGCGCACCTTGCTATTATCGATGATTTTTTTGTGTTTAAATGATAAATATAATCTCATAAAATTAACATTAAAACAATATAGCGTAACCGGTTCATATACAAATTACGAAACAACAAATATGATATGAAAATATCAAAGGAAGTAAATGTAGGATTTAGATAAAATATTTAGTTCGTTAATTTCTGACCTGCCGTAATGAGAGTCTGTTACGTGTAATTGTGGAATGCTGAATACTACGCCAAGTTTAGAAAGTACACTATCAAATTGGGAAAGAATTCCGACGGACAATATCTCAACTGAGGAGCAGCAAGATAATAGGCCCTTTATGGTATATTTCGTTGTATTGAGAGATTAAAACCCGCTAATCTAGCTGTTACTCTACCGTGAACGAGTGCGGAAGTCGAGATTATATTGAAAACCCGGTGAACACATATATGGGCGACGGGAACAAAGCGATGACACGTACACATATACAGGTGTAATGCGGTCACAGGTGTGTGTGTTACAGTTCTGCAAAGATGGCGGTAAACAGGAAGTGGATAGAAAAACGATAAACAGAAAGTAGCCAGTATATTTGGCCCGTGTGTGTATGTTTACACAAATACCGGGACGGGATAGCATTCCGTAGTCTCACAAGAGCTCTACAGGAGAACATGGAGTCATACATGTACCCACAACAATGTCAGATCGAATGGCAGGGTTGGTGAATACCATGTACGTACAGGTAGATATGAACAAAGTTTGTAGACTTGCTGAAGCTCTCAATCCTTTTATGAAGATATAAGTGTTTTCCGCATGTTTATTACACTTGAAGGGGTCCTCAGATTCTGCTAACCTCGTATCACTGCACCAGATTAAGTCTGATACTCAACTTTCAAGACTAGTTTTGTAAAGAAACAAAGTAATACTGTGATATAATGGGATATTTAATATACTGGTACAAAACATGAATTTATCGCAGATAATGATAAAAATGCATGCAGATATTCAATCTTTTCTATCCTTGGTGAGTGTCAAATCCCTCTCAGTAACGTAATATATTATGTAAAGTGTTTCACAGAACACAGCACATACTTCACCCTACTCCAATCTACCTACCATCAAAAGCGGAATAGGAAATTCCAGCATTTCTAATTTTCCGGATTGCTCTTCTCTTGTAGCCGTAAAAGAAAACTCATTCTGCTGGTCGTAGCTGTGATTTACATGTTCATAGCCGCTTTGGGATATTACGTCATCACTGACACAAGTTATGACGTCACACCAAAAGATGTTCGACGTTTGAGTATTCTCCTTAAATCGACCATAATAACAAATTGGAATGAAACAACTTATGATGTAGATACGTCATCAACGATACCGATCCAGAATGGGACAGTTCGGAAGTATTCGTGTGACGTCACCACGGAGCACCAGGATCTGCTGTGTGACGTAGTAGGTATAACTTGCGTCATATTTCAGCATTTCTTGGATATAAATTATTGGAATTCAAAGGCAAGATGGCAGATGCTGTTCGAGGATATAAACCAATGGGTTACTTAATGACTATCATCTGTTCTACTATGAACGGTTTTACAAGAATATACAAGATTTCAGCTACAAATACTAAATGCTTTAGAGTCACAAATATCTTTTTTGGAACGTTATATTTTCGCGAATTACGGACTTACGTAAGTTATTACTCTATATTGTGTGAGGGAAGACTCGGATTTATATCGTTTTATTTGATTGACACATAAATTATTTTTTACAATTAACTTCTCTTTTTCATTTATCGACAGTTACATAAGATAAAGGTAAAAGAGAAAAAATGTTTACACATAATCGCCCTTTACTACGTCTTTTTTCAGGCTAGACCTAATTTCCTGTCCAACTATAAAAATCCATGCTGGAAGGAGTCCGCTAGTCCAGTTCAATGTATCCCGTACTTTCAGCTGATAGGAGTTGACAAATCTGGTACCACAGACTTATTCTATAGGCTTGTCCGTCATCCTCACGTGGAAGGTAACCAAGGTTACATCGGGAAGGAAACGTTCTGGTGGGCATGGAAACGTTACGGTAAGACCCCGTCCTCCTCTTACCTCTCCTGTTACCTGTACATTATGATTTCATTGTGATGGTGATTGTAAATGAGAACGAAAACTTCGGACTATCTAACGCCTTCCTTTCACTGAGAAGTATAAAACGCCTCCGATTCGAAACAACGAAACATGGGATAGATGTTGGCGGGTATCAGTGGAAGGCTTCCTTTATCACAAATAATATCTTTTTTAATATTTATGTTTGAAGGGCTGGATCTCCAAAAAACAGTTCCACGCAGAGACTTTGCGTATTACGTACATTTCTTCCAAGAAGCGGCTGCCACTATAGCGGGGACAGTAGACGACTCGGGTTTTCATGACGTCATCACAGGTAAGGTTAGCCAAACATCGATCAAAATTGGTAGGGGTATCATGACATCAAAGAATGTATCTATAACCTATCATGACGTCATCACAGGTAAGGATAGCCAATCATGGATCGATATCTCTACGGTATGATGACATTAGAAAATGTATGGATAGCCTATCATGACGTCATCACAGGTATGAAAGTCAATCATGGATCGGTATCACTACGGTATCATGACATCATAAAATGTATTTTTAGCCTATCATGACGTCATCACAGGTAAGGATAGCCAATCATGGATCGATATTACTAGGGTATCATGACATCAGAAACTGTATCTATAGTCATTCGTTATGGGCATGCAATTGACAAATGAGCAACACTGTTATCAATTTCATGGTTAAGATAAACAATAATTGGTGGAACACCAGACGTAGTATTAAATTCCAGTAAAATGATGAAATAGATGAAATTAGATATACTCATGTATTTTCTATTTGTTTATGATTTCCAATTACCACTATATACTCTGGTTTGAAGGAGATGGATCGCCGATGGATTTTTGGGATTTCCGTGGTTGGACAGACATCCCACAAAATGACGGTCTGAAGGATCCAGGGATACTTACTCCACATCTTATTCACCATATCAACCCGAACACCAAGTTTATCGTGCTCCTACGTGACCCTATAGAGAGGTAGGGTTAACAACACCCACCCCCCACTCACCCACAACAACAGTGTTACACGACTTTCTTATCACTTAACCTGTTTACATTAATTCTTTGTGATGGAATGACGAACAAAGGTGGCGTATGACCAACAACAATGCTTTTCGAAACTAGTTAGTTTCATGCAAGACTGACACGGTCGAGAAACGGTCTTGTTTCCATGTCAACCAAGATTCAATGTGTTTGTAATACTATTCTTTTACAGGACAACATATCGTAGTTTGAGAAAAAAATGTTTTCTTTTTCTTTTTAGGTTATATTCAGATTACCACTTTCTGCCCATCAAAAGAGTTCGTACTCCCGAAACCTTCCATAGAGCCGTGTCAAGGTCGTTTGGTGTTCTGTCGTCCTGTCTCCATGGCAACACACTACGTCACTGTCTGTTTGACAGAAGTCTTCATCAACAGTTTAACAAAAATGTAATACTATCCATAGTATTGTTATTTAAAGCTACATGTATCGGAATTCAAATTAATACATTGTAAATATACATATCTTTTGAAGTCAATTTCGACATGTATGCTGACATATACGTTTAATTGCCTGTCATCGAAATTTAACAAAAGTGCATTCTAAACTTCTAAACTTAATTTAAGTCGGCAGCTTTATTGTAACCATTGTTTTGTACTAGGTTATGATTGCCTTATGTTATAGAACCATTGTTTTGTACTAGGTTATGATTGCCTTATGTTATAGAACCATTGTTTGGTACTAGGTTATCATTGCCTGATGTTATAGAACCATTGTTTGGTACTTGGTTATGATTGCCTTATGTTATAGAACCATTGTTTGGTACTTGGTTATGATTGCCTTATGTTAAAGAACCATTGTTTGGTACTTGGTTATGATTACCTGATGTTAAAGAACCATTGTTTGGTACTTGGTTATGATTACCTTATGTTAAAGAACCATTGTTTGGTACTTGGTTATGATTACCTTATGTTATAGAACCATTGTTTGGTACTTGGTTATGATTGCCTTATGTTAAAGAACCATTGTTTGGTACTTGGTTATCATTGCCTGATGTTAAAGAACCATTGTTTGGTACTTGGTTATGATTGCCTTATGTTAAAGAACCATTGTTTGGTACTTGGTTATGATTGCCTGATGTTAAAGAACCATTGTTTGGTACTTGGTTATCATTGCCTTATGTTAAAGAACCATTGTTTTGTACTAGGTTATGATTGCCTTATGTTATAGAACCATTGTTTGGTACTTGGTTATGATTACCTTATGTTAAAGAACCATTGTTTTGTACTAGGTTATGATTGCCTTATGTTATAGAACCATTGTTTGGTACTTTGTTATCATTACCTTATGTTAAAGAACCATTGTTTGGTACTTGGTTATCATTGCCTGATGTTAAAGAACCATTGTTTGGTACTTGGTTATGATTACCTTATGTTATAGAACCATTGTTTGGTACTTGGTTATCATTGCCTTATGTTAAAGAACCATTGTTTGGTACTAGGTTATCATTGCCTGATGTTAAAGAACCATTGTTTGGTACTTGCTTATCATTGCCTTATGTTAAAGAACCATTGTTTGGTACTTGGTTATGATTGCCTGATGTTAAAGAACCATTGTTTGGTACTTGGTTATGATTACCTTATGTTATAGAACCATTGTTTGGTACTTGGTTATCATTGCCTTATGTTAAAGAACCATTGTTTGGTACTAGGTTATCATTGCCTGATGTTAAAGAACCATTGTTTGGTACTTGCTTATCATTGCCTTATGTTAAAGAACCATTGTTTGGTACTTGGTTATCATTGCCTGATGTTAAAGAACCATTGCTTTGTACTAGGTTATGATTGCGTGTTGGTTAAGAACCATTGTTTGGTACTTGGTTATCATTGCCTGATGTTAAAGAACCATTGTTTGGTACTTGGTTATCATTGCCTGATGTTAAAGAACCATTGTTTGGTACATTGTTTGGTACTTGGTTATCATTGCCTGATGTTAAAGAACCATTGTTTGGTACTTGGTTATCATTGCCTGATGTTAAAGAACCATTGTTTGGTACTTGGTTATGATTACCTTATGTTATAGAACCATTGTTTGGTACTTGGTTATCATTGCCTGATGTTAAAGAACCATTGCTTTGTACTAGGTTATGATTGCGTGTTGGTTAAGAACCATTGTTTGGTACTTGGTTATCATTGCCTGATGTTAAAGAACCATTGGTTTGTACTAGGTTATGATTGCGTGTTGGTTAAGAACCATTGCTGTCACCTATGTGTGTTAAATGGTGGATGTTTTCATGGTTTCTGTCAGACATGTAAAGCCATTGTTTTTTTGCAGGCACGACTACACATAGGGTTTTATATTGTGTATCTTCATGAATGGTTCAAAGTTTTCCCAAGGAGTCAATTTCTGATCATACGATTTGAGGACTACATCAACAACATTCCAAAGTATATCAATCAAGTTTACAGATTTCTGGGTCTAGGTAAGGACTGTGTTATGTTACGGAATTAACGTACATTCCAAAGTATATCAATCAAGTTTACAGATTTCTGGGTCTAGGTAAGGACTGATTCTATAAACTAACAGATTAGATCTGTGATATTAAAGCATTAGTGACGAAAACGACCGGGCGGATGTTTACAGAACTAGCGATGATAAACATTTATTTGGTGATTTTGACTAACATGGAAATTATATTATGGTCGCGGGTGACATATTCAGAGACTGGAGACTGATTTCGTTGTTGCATTGACATCCTTAAAGAACCAAAAGATTCAAATAAAAGACGACATGGATAAAAATGTGATAATTCCATATCACATTTTTTAATTAATCAAGACTAATGTGGTAATTAGATTTTGAAATACCAGTGACTTCTTTTTAATGACATGTAGCAAAAATGATGGGATACAAAATTATCTGAAAATTATATATGTGTTACCTACTTATGATGAATATACGAATCTAAATCTTGATAAATGTTTGTATTGCGGCACGAAAACAATAGTGAAATGAACATAGGATATACTCTATCGATTCTTAAAGCATCAGTTAATTGATTTCAGAATAAAAAAATCGGTCCATGATCTCATTTCTCAAAATTCCATTTCCTTGAGCGATGGGAAGTTGCCCGTTATTTCAGACACAATGACTGGTAAGATGTAGGTTGTTGAAGACTATCGGACTCTTTCATGGTTCGTATCGTAATTTCATCGGGATACTGTATATTCCAGTTTTTTGTATAATATGACGTTAGATGCTCTTTATGTCCATAAGTTTTGCCTGATTCTCTCAATTGTGAACGTGACATCACTTACCTGGATTGACGAAGTTTGGTATGTCGGATGTTGTCGATGAAGCAGAAAGTGCTTACCCTTCTGGAAAACCTGGTCTTTTTCTCCTTGCATTTTTTTCCAATGATTCCGTATAAATCTTCTTTATGAATTATTTTGTTCATAATTTCCATCGTATGGTTGGCTTTTTGTTTGTGTCGATTTGTCGATTTATCTATTGCAAGATATGACAAAATTAGAATTTGAACGTAAAGGTAAAATTTTCTTGAATTTCCACAGCTCCTGTATCCCTACAAGAGACAGCCGTCCTTGGTATCCTTAGCCCCGTCCGTGAAAACGTTACTAAGCGGAAGGTCATGGCCAGACCAATGTTGAACAAAACCAGAGACATTCTCAGAGATATCTACCAACCTTTCAATGAGGAGCTCTCCAAAGTTTTAAAGAACGAGGAGTTTTTATGGCTTTGAAAACAAAGACATTTCAAATTAATCCGATAATTTTATGAAAACTTCCATTTTTGGCGAATCCTTTTCCAAAAATTTATTTACATCCAATTCAGTTTTACTGGATGGTCTTTGATTAATGTTTCACTGATGCATGGTTGTTATTGTCATGAGGTATTTCTATGTGTTTTATGGTCAATATTTATTGGGTGATTCAGATACATTTCATGGTCAGTGTTCATCGAGTGTTTAAGAGATATAATGGAAATTAGAATGTTTTCTGTAGGGTAGATATTTAGTAATGTTTGGTACAATGATATCTGTATTATATATTCCAGACAACAGTAAAACATTTTAACATTGTAAAGCAAACATCCTGATGATACAATAAAATATTCTACGGTAAAAATTAATTATTATTTCATAGGGCGGTCTTGTGGTTAAAGATAGAGGGATATTCTATAGGGCGGTCTTGTGGTTAAAGATAGAGGGATATTTCATAGGGCGGTCTTGTGGTTAAAGATAGAGGGATATTTTATAGGGCGGTCTTGTGGTAAAAGATATAGGGATATTTTATAGGGCGGTCTTGTGGTTAAAGATAGAGGGATATTCTATAGGGCGGTCTTGTGGTTAAAGATAGAGGGATATTCTATAGGGCGGTCTTGGGGTTAAAGATAGAGGGATATTCTATAGGGCGGTCTTGGGGTTAAAGATAGCGTGATATTTTATAGGGCGGTCTTGTGGTTAAAGATAGCGTGATATTTTATAGGGCGGTCTTGTGGTTAAAGATAGAGGGATATTCTATAGGGCGGTCTTGGGGTTAAAGATAGCGTGATATTTTATAGGGCGGTCTTGGGGTTAAAGATAGCGTGATATTTTATAGGGCGGTCTTGTGGTTAAAGATAGAGGGATATTTTATAGAGCGGTCTTGGGGTTAAAGATAGAGGGATATTCTATAGGGCGGTCTTGGGGTTAAAGATAGCGTGATATTTTATAGGGCGGTCTTGTGGTTAAAGATAGAGGGATATTCTATAGGGCGGTCTTGTGGTTAAAGATAGAGGGATATTCTATAGGGCGGTCTTGGGGTTAAAGATAGCGTGATATTTTATAGGGCGGTCTTGTGGTTAAAGATAGAGGGATATTTTATAGGGCGGTCTTGTGGTTAAAGATAGCGTGATATTTTATAGGGCGGTCTTGTGGTTAAAGATAGAGGGATATTTTATAGGGCGGTCTTGTGGTTAAAGATAGAGGGATATTTTATAGGGCGGTCTTGTGGTTAAAGATAGCGTGATATTTTATAGGGCGGTCTTTTGTGGTTAAAGATAGCGTGATATTTTATAGGGCGGTCTTGTGGTTAAAGATAGAGGGATATTTTATAGGGCGGTCTTGGGGTTAAAGATAGCGTGATATTTTATAGGGCGGTCTTGTGGTTAAAGATAGAGGGATATTTTATAGGGCGGTCTTGGGGTTAAAGATAGCGTGATATTTTATAGGGCGGTCTTGTGGTAAAAGATAGAGGGATATTTCATAGGGTGGTCTTGTGGTTAAAGATAGAGTGATATTTCATAGGGCGGTCTTGTGGTTAAAGATAGAGTGATATTTTATAGGGCGGTCTTGTGGTTAAAGATAGAGTGATATTTTATAGGGCGGTCTTGTGGTTAAAGATAGAGTGATATTTTATAGGGCGGTCTTGTGGTTAAAGATAGAGTGATATTTTATAGGGCGGTCTTGTGGTTAAAGATAGAGTGATATTTTATAGGGCGGTCTTGTGGTTAAAGATAGAGTGATATTTTATAGGGCGGTCTTGTGGTTAAAGATAGAGTGATATTTTATAGGGCGGTCTTGTGGTTAAAGGTAGAGTGATATTTTATAGGGCGGTCTTGTGGTTAAAGATAGAGGGATATTTTATAGGGCGGTCTTGTGGTTAAAGATAGAGTGATATTTTATAGGGCGGTCTTGTGGTTAAAGATAGAGTGATATTTTATAGGGCGGTCTTGTGGTTAAAGATAGAGTGATATTTTATAGGGCGGTCTTGTGGTTAAAGATAGAGTGATATTTTATAGGGCGGTCTTGTGGTTAAAGATAGAGTGATATTTTATAGGGCGGTCTTGTGGTTAAAGATAGAGTGATATTTTATAGGGCGGTCTTGTGGTTAAAGATAGAGTGATATTTTATAGGGCGGTCTTGTGGTTAAAGATAGAGGGATATTCTATAGGGCGGTCTTGGGGTTAAAGATAGAGGGATATTTCATAGGGCGGTCTTGTGGTAAAAGATATAGGGATATTTTATAGGGCGGTCTTGTGGTTAAAGATAGAGTGATATTCCATATGGCGGTCTTGGGGTTAAAGATAGAGGGATATTTTATAGGGCGGTCTTGTGGTTAAAGATAGAGGGATATTTTATAGGGCGGTCTTGGGGTTAAAGATAGAGGGATATTTTATAGGGCGGTCTTTTTGTTAAAGATAGAGGGATATTTTATAGGGCGGTCTTGGGGTTAAAGATAGAGGGATATTTTATAGGGCGGTCTTGGGGTTAAAGATAGAGGGATATTTTATAGGGCGGTCTTGTGGTAAAAGATAGAGGGATATTTCATAGGGCGGTCTTGGGGTTAAAGATAGAGGGATATTTCATAGGGCGGTCTTGTGGTTAAAGATAGAGGGATATTTTATAGGGCGGTCTTGTGGTTAAATATATAGGGATATTTTATAGGGCGGTCTTGGGGTTAAAGATAGAGTGGTATTCTATAGGGCGGTCTTGTGGTTAAAGATAGAGTGATATTTTATAGGGCGGTCTTGTGGTTAAAGATAGAGTGATATTTTATAGGGCGGTCTTGTGGTTAAAGATAGAGTGATATTCTATAGGGCGGTCTTGTGGTTAAAGATAGAGGGATATTTTATAGGGCGGTCTTGGGGTTAAAGATAGAGGGATATTTTATAGGGCGGTCTTGTGGTTAAAGATAGAGGGATATTTTATAGGGCGGTCTTGGGGTTAAAGATAGAGGGATATTTTATAGGGCGGTCTTGGGGTTAAAGATAGAGGGATATTTTATAGGGCGGTCTTGTGGTAAAAGATAGAGGGATATTTCATAGGGCGGTCTTGGGGTTAAAGATAGAGGGATATTTCATAGGGCGGTCTTGTGGTTAAAGATAGAGGGATATTTTATAGGGCGGTCTTGTGGTTAAATATATAGGGATATTTTATAGGGCGGTCTTGGGGTTAAAGATAGAGTGGTATTCTATAGGGCGGTCTTGTGGTTAAAGATAGAGTGATATTTTATAGGGCGGTCTTGTGGTTAAAGATAGAGTGATATTTTATAGGGCGGTCTTGTGGTTAAAGATAGAGTGATATTTTATAGGGCGGTCTTGTGGTAAAAGATAGAGTGATATTCTATAGGGCGGTCTTGTGGTTAAAGATAGAGGGATATTTCATAGGGCGGTCTTGTGGTTAAAGATAGAGGGATATTTTATAGGGCGGTCTTGTGGTTAAAGATAGAGGGATATTTTATAGGGCGGTCTTGGGATTAAAGATAGAGGGATATTTCATAAGGCGGTCTTGGGGTTAAAAATAGAGTGATATTTCATAAGGCGGTCTTGGGGTTAAAGATAGAGGGATATTCTATAACCTGTTGTAATTGGAAGAAAAACATTAAATCTATTAAGGGGTGGATGACTCCTAATCTAGAATTTAATTTTCCTTTAGATCCTGTGTATATAGTTTTCTCATTCCCTCCTAGGTTTTAAATTGTAGGCCCTTGATGCAGTCTCTTACTCAAAATTTGTTTTGAAAGTTGCTATACACTTGTGTATATTTTGCACTTTCTTTAATTTATTCCAGTTCAGATGAATGACTACTACCTCTTTCCAATAAATGTGGTGATTCGCTCCAATGTTCCCTGTGTCACCAGCACTAGAACAACCCATGTTGTGATCGCTGATATCATTGAAATACTGTTATGTTGTATAGAATACCATCCATTGAAAAATCATCTTCACCATGAATATGTTCTTAAAAGAAAAAAAAACATATTTCTTGTACATTCATCCATCGACATGCTTTCCCTGGTATTAGTCTATCTATAGATTTAAAGTCATCAACTTTTGCCTGTATATATTGACAGTCCCTTTCTTGCCTCATATTAAAAAATTGTAACCATTAAACACTCCATATTTGTGACAGACTTCTCATTCTTGGAAGAGTTATGTCCCCATACACAGAGGTTTGGTGTTTGATGTAGGCGTTCAATTTCTTGTTTTTGTCTGGAAATGTATAAGAGTGTGGCAGTGCTACCTTTTCGTATAAGAGTGTGGCAGTATTACATTTTGTATAAGAGTGTGGCAGTATTACATTTTGTATAAGAGTGTGGCAGTATTACATTTTGTATAAGAGTGTGGCAGTATTACATTTTGTATAAGAGTGTGGCAGTATTACATTTTGTGTAAGAGTGTGGCAGTATTCCATTTTGTGTAAGAGTGTGGCAGTATTACATTTTGTGTAAGAGTGTGGCAGTATTCCATTTTGTTTAAGAGTGTGGCAGTATTACATTTTGTGTAAGAGTGTGGCAGTATTACATTTTGTATAAGAGTGTGGCAGTATTACATTTTGTTTAAGAGTGTGGCAGTATTACATTTTGTATAAGAGTGGCAGTATTACATTTTGTGTTAGAGTGTGGCAGTATTACATTTTGTATAAGAGTGTGGCAGTATTACATTTTGTATAAGTACGGACGATTTACGTGGGAACATTTATAACACGGAGACATGTGCTGTTACAGGCTTTTTAACTTACTTTTACTTGTTTGTAACGGTCCATAATTCCGTAATGTCCTGGCGTTTTTGTTTTATTTTTTCTCTTACAATAGCGAGCATTAACGAGAAGGAATAAGCAGAATGAAATCGAATGATAAACTGTTATTTTTATTTGGAATGATGATAAAAGAGCTACACAAAGAAAGTTGTAAATCATTCTGAATGAATGCAGCTTACCATAGAGATGCCCGAGACTAAAAACATACCAACATGGCAACA